TTATTTAAAATTATATAATAATATAATATCTAAAATTTGATTGGCTAAAACTGATGATGTCATTGATGATGTAATTGCGGCTAATTGCGGCACATATGTTGCAACTACCAACAAAAACCGCAATTATTAAAATTTAAATAAATAATTGAGGAGCCATCTTTAGTTTCTACTATTTTCTTGCTTATTATACTTTTTTTTTAGTAATAATTTGCTCAAGATATTTTTATTATCCAAGTTTAAGTTTTTTTAAATAATCTAAATATCAATCTTGTTTTAGATTATTTATTTCAGCAAGTTTGACAGTCTATCTATATAATATTTTGATAAAAAATCTAGTTATTCTTTAAAGTTTAATAATTTTTCTATATTCATATTTTTGACAAGAAAATATCTTACAAAAAAACTCAGTGTAATGATAGTAATGATAAAAATATTTTTTATCCATCTTAAATCATATAATAAATATATTTGTAATTAATTTTAATATTATTATAATGTAAAAAAAGATTTGATAATATAATTTCTAAAATAAAAAAAATTATTACTTTTTTCTGCTATCATTATAATATTAAAAAAAATATAAATATGATATTTTTATAATATATTTATAAATTATTAAATTATCTTAATCAAATTAATATTAATAAAGTATTAGTTTTCTGATTATATAATAATTATTATTTCTTTTTAATTTAAATAAATTTATTTTAATAATATTTTAATTATTAAGTGATAATATAATAAATTATATATTAATTTTGATATAAAAAATATAAATCAATATAAAAAAATTTATATTTTAGATAAATATTAATAAATTATTTTTTCAAAATAAAATTTTAATTTTATCTTATTTAATTAAATTATTAGATATTGATTTTTTATTTAAATATAAAAATTTTTATTAATAATAATTTTTATTTTACTATATAAAATTTGATTAAATTAATATAAAAATTATATAATAAATAATTTAATTACTTAATTTTGAATTTTAATATTTTTATAATTATTAATTTAATTTTTATAAAATTTAAAATATATATTTATTAAATCTAAGATAATTTACTTATATAATTTAAAATTTTAATATTATAAATTAATAGTAATAATATTTAAAATATTTTTTTTTAAAAAAAATAATTTTATTTTAGTTTTTTTTAATAAAGTAAAATTTTATTTATTATTAAATTAAAGTATAATAGAATAGTTAAAATAATATAAAAAGTTAATTTAAATTATTTTATTTAATATAAAAAAATTATAAAGATTGATTAAAATTTAAATAATTTTTATTAAAAATAATTATTAATTTTTATATTAAAATATAAATCTTTTATACTGATCTATAAATAGAAATATTATCTCAAGTTTATTTTAATTTATTTGATAAAGAAAGTTTTAATTTGTTATTATAATTTTCTTAAAAATTTATAATTATATTTAGAATAATTAAAAATAAGATATAAAAATTATAAGATATTATTTAAAAAGTTTCAAGTTTATTATAGAATTATATAATATATTTTTTCATATAAAATATATATACAAATTATTTTATAAATTATCTAATTTATAATTTTCACTTAAAAAAATAAAATTAATTTTAATATAAATAAATTATATTATTTTTTAATTTAATAAAATATATTAATAATTAACTTTTTTATTAATTTATTTTTATTAATTCAGATATAAATATATTAATATTAAAAAAAATCTGTTAAATAAAAAATAATTAAAATTAAATTATATAAAAATAATATTTATATATATAAATTAATTATAATCTATTTAAAAATTATTATTATTAAAATTCATAAATAAAAATTATAATTAAATAATTATTAAATAATTATAGAATAATATAATTATAAAGAGATTTTTAATTAAAAATTACTAATAATTAAAAATCTTAAATTAAGAAATAATAAAAAATATAATTATAAAAAAATCTAATTATAAAGAAATCTAATTATAAATATATTATAATTATTTAAAAATAACTTTTTTTAGGAATTATATATATTTCTATATTTAAAAAATAAAAAAAATAACTTATTTAAAATAGATTATTTTTTTGATTTAATATCTAATTATATTGCAATAAAAAAAGTATAAATCTGACAAATTTATAATTTTCTTTAAATTTATTAAATTTAATTTAATAATAAAAATTTTGAAAATTTTTTAATAGAATTAATATTTAAACTTTTAAATACTTGAATTGAATTGAACTGAATTTAAGTTCAAATTCAAATATCTTGAATAAAATTAATTCAATATCAAGTATTATTAATAATATTTTTTAATATTTTTAAATATTTAAACAAATTTTTTGAACTTGATTTAAATTAAAATTATTTAAAATCTTTGAAATTAATTTTTTTATTAAAGAATTATTATAATAATAACAATATTTATTTTAATATAAAATTATTATTATACTTGACACTAAAATATTAATTAAAGAAACTTGGAAAATTCAAATTAATTTATTAATAACTAAAATTATATTATTAAGAAATCAGACTAAATCTTACAAATAATCCAAATATTTTACTCTTATCTTATTTATTAACGTAAATATTTTATGATAAATCTTTTCATTCATAAGAGATCACACAAGTCATTGAAAACACTCCTTTTCTTTTATTTATTATTTCCTTATAACAAAATTGTTTTCAATCTAACAAACATAATAACAAAACAAAATAATCAAAGTCCAAGAAACAAGTTTTTTAAATCAAATACTTCTCAAGCCGTAACTAATCCCATCCACTATTCTCAGCATTTTCAGTTGTCTCGTCAGCCCAATTACTAGCCCCACCCGCACCTGTTTCAAATGTATCTGTAAATTCGGTAGTAGGTTCAACAAACGGCGGCACAGCAGTCGAAGACACAGCGGGCGTATCTGCCCATCCACCACCAGCACCAGTATCATCATCGGCCGCCCATTGAGAAGCAGTAGTAGTTGAAGGAATTGCGGCAGCAAGTGCAGGATTAATTCCACCAACCGCGGCCGTACCGGAAGCTTCCCATCCTCCTGCAGCTCCAGCATCCTGAGTTTCCCAACTCTGTCCACCTTCACCATAGCCACCAGTTCCTTCGCCAGCACCCTTCTCCAGACCAGCACCCGAAAGATCTGCCTCTTTTTCCGCCTCTTCGGGATCACGATAAAAGAACATATCAACCATCACATCCCAAGGCTGATCCCTAGGAATCGTCCCACGAAGACGAAGAACCTCCCGTGCCAAAAACCAATAAACTAACCCGATCGAGTGTTTCGCTTTATTGTTCGTTGGAATTGCCACGTCAACAAATCGAAGTGGCGAGTCGGTGTCTGCTAGCGCGATAACCGGAATGTTTACATACGAGGCTTCTTTGATTGCTTGGTGATCGGTACGCGGGTCCGTGACGATAATCAAGCGCGGTTCTTTAAACGAACGGGTGTTGTAGTTTGTGAATGTACCCGGGGTGAAACGACCAGATATTGCTTGGGCATGTGTGTATGATGCGTATTTTAGTGCAGCCCGTTGGCCGTATGGACGTGCTGAAATTACTACTACGTCAGCTGGGTTTTCAATTGCTGCGATTATGCGGGCAGCAAATACTATTTTTTCCCATGTTTTGCCAACATTGATGATGTGAACACCTGAGTTCCCGTATACGAATTGATTGAAAAATAAGAATTTAATTACTCATAAGATTACTATCAATTAAATCACATCTTCAAGAATATCTAACTACCGTCAGCACGTCTTTTCCACACGTACGGTGTCATTTGGACATTAAGATTTTTTGCCCCAATATGGGCTTGAGCCGAGAGAAGGAATTGAATATCCTCCTCGGTAGCTGTTTGATATTTTTTATGTGCAAAATTTTGTGTTAATGATGCATACTGCGTTAATATAATGCTGCCGTTGTGAAAGAAATGTCTAATACCAAGAGAAGTGAAAAACTTGGTTTACCGTTTAGAATTGCAGGCACCTTAGACATGACTGTCAAATTATGGAGACAGCGTTCTGTTTATTTTTTAAGATTCATTTATTCAATTATTGAGGAAAAATACTTTATAAATCCATTTATGAATTCATCCATCCATCGCTTCTTTTCACCCCGAGATTAAAAAAAATTTGTCTATCTGTATTTCACAAGCACTCAAAATTTATCTCACAAAAGGATACAGTAAGCGTCCGAGTATTGCTGCGAAAGGAAAGAAACATTTTCAGTGCGAGATCTTTGAAAATTTATACGTATGGTTTGGGGTTAGTCGTCATCAGCCAATCATTTGGTCTGAAATATTGTCAATCTTTTTATTTTACTATATACGCGTCATTATCATAAAATTATATCAGAATCACATATCATTATTTAAAGAAAAAGACATAGAAATCCAAAAAATAAATGATAAAAATACTTTAATGAAGAGAAAAAAATGGATCAGATTCAAAATATTCAAACATCTGTAACTCTTTAAAGATTAGTTATCTTGAAATTTTTAGCATAAATAGTATAATATAAATCTAGATTCTATAAGCTTTTTTATAATAATTATTTAATTTTTAAATCAATTTTTTATATAAATAAAAAATATTAATCAAAATATAATGAAAAATAATTATATTAATAATTTTAAATTTAAAATTTTTTTAAAACTAATATTAAACTTTAAGTATTTTTATAATAATAACAAAAAATTTAATAAGATAGTTATTAAGAAATTGAATTTTAAATTTATTATATAGTGATGATCAAAAGTAATATATTAGGAACTAAATTTATTAATAAAATATTTCTATATTAAAATATATAATTTTATCAAGAAATAATTTTTATTTTTATATCAAAAAAAATTTATTAGTTATAATTTAATATATATTTTTCAGATTTTTAAATTTTATTAATTAAATTTTATTTTTAATTAATAAAAATTTTTGTAATTAGAATAACTTTTTTAGAAAAATCTGAAAAAAATATATATTAAATTATAATTGATAAACTTTTATTTTAATATAAGAATAAAAATTATTTCTTAATAAAATTATATAAAAAAAATTTTTATTTTTATTATATTTTATTGATAAATTTAGTCTTTAATATATTATTTTTAATTATTATTATACAGTGGCGATCAAAAGTAATGACTCAGGGGCTAAATTTACTAATAAAACATAGTGAAAATTGAAATTTTCTCTCTATATTAAAAT